GTTGGATAACGGGCTGGAAGATGGCTATTAGTCAGTGGTATAAAGGTTTCGAATCAGCATTTGCCCTGACATAGTAACATCATGTGTACTTAAATGATACTGACTACTTCAGTTCTACCGGTAACAAGAGAATCACGTAACGGAATTCTCAAAGCCAATCTACCCAAAGCCCAACAAGAACAAAAGGCTCTCTGTGAATGACCGTTTTGGGATATGAATGTATCGCTTACTTTTACAACGTGGAAGCCGGAATTAGTGGTAAGAAACTGCAATCAATGCAGTCTTGCTTAGAATTAGCGGTTAAACCAAAGGGGTAAAGATGCGAAACTATTTCCTGTCTCATACTTTTCTTTGACTTTAATATTTTTTTATCGTAAATTTGGCAAGTGCATGGGTAGCTGGGTGCATGCTTCAATCTGAAACTCCGTAAATAATGAAATACTAGTTACCACAGATAATGCCGACAAAGTGAAATTTATTCTTTTTTCAATTGGATCTATATCTCTAGCGCAACTTTATTTCGACCTCGACGTATCCTGACCACCGGGATTTTTCGGTTCACAGAAATACTAACCACATTACTGAAATGGTCAATGTGAGAAAATTCCTTTCAGTCGGAGAGTAATCAGCAACATCCCATCAAACGAGAATCATGTTTTGCAAGAGATGCTTTTCCAAGACAGTTTTCGCATGGAATGATGAGTTTTCTGGATGCCTCGCGAGTAAACACCCATTGATCATGATTCACGGTGTCTGAGGATGACCTAACCTTGTTCCCTTGTTTTGGCAAGTTGACTGACACAGCTAATTTCGTTGCATCATTCATTTATGCAATGTTTTGGGGTTGAAATGGAATTCAACCGATCGCTGTAAATATCTCAAACAACCAATCACCCATGGTTGTGTACTTTAGGGCAGGGGAATATCTACTAAACGGTTTATTCTCCCTTTGTACTGGGAAACAGGAGTAGGGTCGAGGACACTGTACAAATTAAATGAACTTTCGTGGGCTGCATATTTAAGGTAACGTTTATCTATCGTGTGCAATCCGTACACTTCGAATCCTTATCGGGTATGTGTGTGTAAATTTGTCTGCTTTTCAGTGAAATTCCCGAGTCCATTGACGTTTTTTGCTGAGGACACCAGCATCGATCCATCCGGTGTAAGGTCAGCGAAACAAACTAGCTGTTCGCCCGTTAGGCTTCTTCTAACCATTCTTTCTACAGAAGTTATTCATTAAGTCGTGACTGGCTGGCATCGAGAGGGATCTACACGTCAACAGTGATGAAGGGTCTGGATCGTTGACAAACCACAAACGGTTAACATGGCTTACAAGCCAGTGACACTACTGTACATCTAAGGGAATAAATATCGGTAGCCAATGAGTGTGGGCTCGTTGAGGACCAGTAGCCCGCTTAAGCACGATTGCGTAATGAAGGCTATTTTCCAACTAAATGAACTTGCCTTCTAATAGGACACTCAGTCCTCGTACCGGAGAGAATCCTGTTTAAGCTTGATGCCTTGCAACTTTGATTAAATTCGTAATTAAGCACTGCAACGTTCGTCGGTAGAATCAATCTTGAACCTTGAACTCTGTCTTAGTTATTCTCTAGCTGCCATTGCCGAGCGTGTGAACTTAGCCAAGCGTCAGCGAAAGCTGCCAATGACGGTACCAAGAAAGTAGTTAGTGTACCATTGACAGGATGTCATCAAATCGGGGTCGAAAATAGGGAAACTTTATTGTGAAACAGGGCGAGCATATCTAGCGAAGAAGTGCAACACTTGGATTAGGTCTGCGTTGCTAAAGGATGGAAGGGTGGTTGGGGAGATCAAATGCTTATCTACAAGCAGTGGTGTCTGACAAGAATGTCTACTCTTTCCACTTTTGGTCACTTTCGTTACTGATAGGGTAATGAGGTGAACACTTGAAGATCTCCGAACTATGGCAGGGAAGCCGACCGAGGTCGTCCAATGCTTTGGAATGTGCGTGGCATTCACGAAATTGTAAAATCAGGCTGCGGATACACAATCTTTGAACATGTCTCTGAAAATTCAGGGAGTGACATTGGAAGTTGTGGGACGCTTTGCATATATCGGAAGTTGCATTCACTCTGATGGTGCTGTAACATACGAAGTCAACGTATGAAACTTAAGGACTGCATCCAGCGTTACAAGCTAAAAGGCTGAGACAGGTGCTGTGCATGCCGAATTACCCTTTGCACAGAAATGCGTTGTATTCCTCCACTAAATCGAAGTGTTTGGAAACTAAAGGTGAACAAATTACGACTTGGCAGAAGGGAATGAAAGATGTCACGAAAAGTCTGGTGGTTGCTGGCATCACAGGAGGGAATGCGCGTAACCACTGTCGCGCTGGAGACACTGAAAGATATGGCGGCGCTCTGGCTGTCAGATTGAATGGAAGCGGGGTGTTTTTGATCGGTTACCCCAGGTACCTCCTATCTGTCCTACGCATTGATTCAAACAAACCTATATGACTGTACCTCAGCGAAGCACCCAAGTTCTCTGGTGTTGTTATCAATGATGATAAAAAAAAGTCACACGATCATTTGATACCGACAAGCGGTTAAAACGAACCATATAAAAAATGCGTGGTTTGTCGACATGACTAGTTTGTCGGTGTTTCCTTTTTAGGATATGGTTTCCAGCAATTTCGGGTCTTAATGCTTACGAAATTCGGAGCGACCGGACCAGGATTGCTTCCAGCTGCTATCACATAAGAACAGACATTCGCGAGAGTCCTATCAATTTAGACATTTTGTCCTGAGTTTCTTGACGCGTAATGCGATTGTCGACATCACGTGTTGCAAACTGCTGCTTCACGTGATTGAAACTTATCGAGCCTACGTAGGACTGTTTACCTAAGGGCAAATTTTCCACGAGAGACAAGAGCATTCATATTTCTGAATTGTGAACTGACTATACGCTCCCGCTAATCGAACTCAAACTCTACCTGATCGCACTTAAACTCCGTCCGCAGAGGCCGGCATTCACAAATTCATCTTACGAACTTCAAAATGAAACGTTCGAATATCCGCGTACAAGTCTGATGTGGAGGCCTGTATTCTGCAAATCGTTATCCTGTTACGGTGAGTGATCTGTTCATCAGATAATGAATTCATGGACCTTCAAATCGCTTAATCTTCAACTCTTTGACTTTAAGTTCAAGAGAATAATGATTCTCGAGTACAGGTTCACCAAAGCAACAAGCGATTAGCTAAACATTTGTAGGGTTTCAGTATAGTTGTTTGATAATCGTTGTGCCATATCTTAATAGAACTAAAAGATTTTTAAGAATCCACGCAGCTTTTCATTTGCTTGTAGCAGAGACACAAAAATCCCATACGACAAACTCATCTTTGTACGTTAACCCACGTATATAAAATCTAACATCTTACATCCCATGACCACTGTACGGAAACAGACATCCGTGAACCTATATACTTTATGACCCACATTTTGACATGTTCAGACTAATCTAGCGTTGTGGATCCCGGTCAACGTATATGCTCACCTAATCATCATCTAACTTTGTTCTTATTCGTGGTCTGCTACACAAACATTACGTCATGCATTACCTCCACTAAAGCAGCTTCTCTCAGTAGAGTAACCACTACAAAGTAGAGTCCAACAAATGTTCCCTGTGAGTGTTCCGTAGGATCACCTCACTATCTGCAGACTTGGACGTTACAGTTGAAGGATTCCTCGATATGAACTGTGATACTTTGGAACTGTCAAGTTAACAAAACACGTAATAATGTGCAACACAACCAGTATCACTAAGACTTCCTAGAGCGCCCTTCACAGAAACATGCCAGTCGCACACAAAACGGACGGTGCGATGTCCACCCTACGATGCTGTTGAATGTATTCCATTGGACTCGAATTCCCTGTCTAAGCTTGAGCAGTCCGGCACCATCCAGCCCTTGTACTTCCTTCGGGTGGTACGGCAGCTAGGCATCGAAAGAGTGCTCCAGCTGAACTGTTCAGCTTTCTTTGCCGAATTTCCCGTACAATGTTTCCACTCAGCTACATACGAACAACCGTCGGACTGTGATCGAAATATAGATGCTAAAGTATTATGATCCACAAAAGTCCCTTTACCTTAAATATGGGCGCCCATCCACGACATAATTAGCAAATTCGTAGTGAAAGCAATATGCCCATAACACCAGCACGTCAACAATCACTCGGAACAGAAAACAACACTCACTCTGATAGACAGCGGTTGGGCATACGTAGCAACAACAACCTCAACCTGACAAGCTTAATCCGTTGCTCTAAAGAATCGAATTTATTACCAAGTGCCACTTACTCATCACTCTGTTGCGGACTCGCTGCAACGAGCCAGCTCTTGCTAGGTTACTGATACGCCGGTGATCGGACACTTGGTGGCGCTTCGGTCACGGATCGGGAGGACCGAACCTCACAACAGTGGAAAAAAGCGCTCATGTGAAATTCGGTTCTGTCATAAATGACGCAAGTTCGCGAACGCTGCTCGCGCCTCGATTGTCTACGCAGTAATTTTGCTGCAGTAAAATCACGACTAATGCATATATGTGAACTGATAAATAAGCCCAAGCTCCTCGTTCTGAGGTTTCAAAGAAGCGAAAAGAGATGTGGAATCTTGAAGACCACACTCTTAAGGTCTAAAAAGAATGACAAAACGTGGGATCACCTCCGATGCTCTGGTCAGTGCTTTACGCGCACAATTAGTCGCTGAACAACATAACTATGTCGTCCTTATAGCCGTTAACATCTTTCCAAACGTGGTTTCCATAGCTAAATTAACGGCCTCTTCGAGTATGCGCTCCATCATCAGGTCCATTAAAAATTCGAATATAAAAGGAGAGAATGAACAACACTAACTAACTCCATTACTTGTCGGCAGACTTCTGGATTGTTCATTGCACACTGACCGGTGGTATATGTGCGAAAAATGCCTTCAGATTCCAAGGGCATCCTCCTCTAACCAAGAATATTTAGAAATAATCAATCGACAAGGTAGAAGGTTCCTTCAATGTCTGAGAAGACCGCCATTGCTGGTCTGCGGCATAAGTGGCGCTGCTCAAGCACTTGACGTTATCTAGAAATATGGTCAATGCACACTCTGCCAATCCGAAATGTTTCATGTGTTCTCGGACTTCCTTCTCACGTGATGAAGGCGTTACACTACATGGAAGCCAGTAGCCATATTGAGGCGCTCGGACAAGGGTCCGACCAACGACTGGAAACGACTCCACGAACAACCTAGTCAAAGCGGAAGGTAAAGAGATTTCCGTTTCGGAATATACACCACACTACTCACAGGGTTTCTGAAAACTATTCGACAGCGCACGACCAGTTCCGCCCTTCTTATGGCTCATTAGGTAGACGTAGTCCCCGAGTTTCCGTCAACCTTATGTTTCAACCAAATTGCACAAGATTCGACTTATACACTCATTTGTATACCAATTTGTTTTTGTCGGGAGACTCCTGAGTTCTTAAGCAACCCGATGTACTGCAAAAGGCCACCTCATTTTTCAGCTGAAGAATATCACAAACGAGAGATTCACCTGGGTTTTGGGTGAGCCTACTGTCAAAAACAAACTGGTCTTCAGATAAGTGTATTAGTCGAGTTTCAGAATAACCTCTAAACGTGTTTGACCCGATGACCAGTACTTTCTAAAAGGGAGAAAGGATCATAAACGTCACCATAACAATGCACTCAAAAGTCCTCGCATCGTCTGAGTTTTAATGAGAGTCCATAATGGGGCAAATACGATGTGGAAATACCCAATGAAGACAGTGGCAGGATGTCACAAACGTGCTCGAGGGTGAAATATGGTGGGTCAGTATCACTAGTTTTACGATAGGCCTCTACGAAACATGCGCCGGAAAAATATCTTCAAGCGAGAGTCCTTCGAGTCTTTCCACCACATTCCCTTTTTCTTCACGATGGCCTTGGTTTGGACTTTTTCGTAACTCTCCTGTAGCGTTTCAGGTAAAAATTTGAAGTGCGATTCCGACAAGGATGAAAGACCTTCGGACAATAGGAAAACTGCAACATCTTTGGAAAAGAAACGCTAATGAAAGTGAGGTGATTTCAAAAGAAAGTAGTACCTGTTTCACATAAATCATAGCCACTAGACGACCATTTGCATGATCTAACCCGATAGGAACGAAACGAATTTGAGGTTGTCCGGTGAAAGTAGCACGCATCCACTCAATGGATCTGCGTGAGTGCGTTAGCGGCAAAACGACCGGGAGGGCACAATCTGAAGTTAATGACAGGCAGTTGGAAAACTTACTTGCGTCACTCCTGTATAAGAAGCACATACGAGGGCGATGTATTATTCTCAGTTCCCCATCAAACGATACAGAATCAACGACACCCCGTAGCTTCAGACGACGAGTGAATAATTCGTTGGGGATTTCAAGTACTGAGCGAAATCTAGAGAACTAAATATCCTCCAATGGAATGTAGACAAATGTACCAGATAATAGTGTTTGGAAATCAAGACCAGGCCGCATAAGCCAAGTATAGAGGGTGCAAGCTAGTAAATTGAAAAGCCGAGTGTTGATACACCTTACTCGAACAATGCGCAAGTGATCGTCAACCAACTTTTGAAGATGGTCTATGATGGAACGCATCCGTCCAATGCATCACAGCGATGAGTTGCGATGCGACAAAAACAAAGCTGGTGCAACAAAGCAAATAGACAGTTTAAACATGTAGAAGGAACCTTTTTAAACATGGTTTCCGTTTTATTATCAGACAACAAACCGGGCAATTGTACCCCTACCTACCAACAAGTTTGCTACAATCATATCAACCTATCCTCCACTCCCTGTGCTGTGTTATACAAGTAGCCTATATTGTAAATCCAGTTACCAAATCGCGATTTCGTACGCCTGGTAACGAGGTCTTCATTCTTTCGCGAATCCAGTAGCCTCTGGAGGAGAGCGTCATCTGGTTGCATCGTTCTCCCTGGAAAGCCAATGGGTTGAGAACAATCAATGGATGACAACTGATGGCAGACGCTTGTGATCAGACAGCCAGTCATTACATATACCTAGGTGCAATTAGACTCCTTCACGGCGATTCGTTTTTCACCAGTCAAATGAAAATTCGCTTGAGTTTGAACAGGTGTGCGACATAAGTGTTTCGTCCATTTTACATGAAGTTACCGATTTCCCGTCTTTCCACTTAAGCATATTTACTCTATTCTGAAGAGTATTAACGCCCAGTTCCCAAGCGTTCAATCTTATGAATGTTATACAACAGCCCCAACTAGAACTATCTAAAACTTAACTTATAACAAGCGTATTATGGATGTTAACAAGCATTTTACAAGCCGCATTGAAGAACAATGTCTCATTCGAACGGGGGAAACATTTACTTCCATGTTTCATTTTTCGCTGGCCGAGTTGACAATGGTTGTAGTTTCTCCTACCAACAGGCTACTGCTGACACCTCCCTTCTTTCTCCTTCACATACTTTTTCTTCCCCCTCTCCCCACCCCATTAATAACTCTCTCCTTGTAGGCCCAGCACTTAGGACT